CTGTGTGGTGTTCAGTGTGCCTAAAGTGGTCATTTTTTCAATAGCAGATTTTAAGTGCTTGCTGAATGAATTGACTTTCAGCCACATTTCAGGAATCCTTCTAGGGCATTTTCAGAACCTAGAAGTAACCTGGAGTCCTGGGTAAAATGACATCTGAGTTCTGAATTATACTCATTTTAAAAATCAGGGACCTAAGTTTGGGAATGGACAAGGTTTACATGCAGCTTCAGAGTTTTGTTATTTGCTTTCAGTATCAGAAGCAACTGCAATGATCCTGTGGTGTATCACCCCTCAACTATGGAGGAGTCTTGTTCATTTTATATTAGAAACATTCTGTGGTCATAGTCTAAACATCAAACACCTGTAAGAACCTTGTCTTTTATCAGACAGCATTTAAAGGTTCCCAATCGTCTTCCTATTACAGACGTTCTTATGAAATTTCTAACTCCAGATTTCTCTTCTGGTGCTATTCAAGATGCAAACATATTAAAAACAAACAAACAAACAAATGAACATAAAAACATTACATTTGGGGAAAACTGCTTGCTGCTAACTTTTTAGAAAATGCTAAATATGTTTTTAAAAAGTTTCTAATTTATCCCAATAATTTTTTTATTTTAAAGTGAAAAAAAACCAACAATATTTCAAAACAAGATAAGAGGGTAACAATGGTTACTACATGCGGATTGTTATATTTAAATGAATTACTCAGAGTACACGATATTGGCATTTAATTGTCCAATATTAGCACAAACCTTTCTTGTCAATGAACTAAAAGAAATTAGTGGTGTAACTATTTTAACTATCTTTTGTACATATACATATGTATACACATATATAAATAAATTGTTTTACTTTTCCCTTCCTTCTATTCTCGATTCCCCCATTCCAGTTTTTCTTCCTTTTGAAGCTTCTTCCCATTTTACAATATCTATTGTACATTTTGGATCTTATTTACTGTTTCAGCTTCTCACACTAGGGCAATATGATGTCTACACATGTGCATGTAGTTTATTTCATTTATGAGTATGGTCACAAGTTACATCTATTTACCTATAAAAGTCTCCAGTTTATCCTTATGGTTGAGTAGTACCCCATTGTACAAAATGACCACATCCTTTTTATCCGTTCTTCAGTTGATGGGCATTTAGGTTGTTTCCTAGATCTAACTATCACAAACTGTTCTCCTAAATCATAGATGCACATATATCACCGTGGTATGATGTTTTTAATTCTTCTGGGAAGATATCAAATGGGGAATAGCTAGGTCAAATGGAATCTCCATTCCTAGTTTTTTTGGGAATCTCCACACTGATTTCCATAGTGATTGCACTGGTCTACACTCCTACCAGCAGTGGAGAAGGGCTCCTTTTCTCCCATAACCCCTCCAGCATTTGTTATTGGTTGATTTCTTGATAATAGTCGTTGTTTCCGAGGGTGAGATCGAAACTCAATGTTGTTTTAATTTGCATCTCTCAAGTGACCAGTGATGCTGAACATTTTTGCAAATATTTATTTACTGTTGGTATTTCTTCATTTGAGAAGTATGCGTTCATCTCAGATGCCATTTTTGGTTGAATCTTTAAATTGAGGAGGTCTGACTTTTTTTTTTTTTTTTTTTTTTTTTTAGTTCTTTATATGTTCTCAGTAGTTATCCTTGTGAGGAACAGCTGGCAAACATTTTTTTCCCACATTGTGGGTTGTCTCTTCACTCTGTTGGTGGTTTCTCTTGGACTGCAAAAGCTTTTTAAAATGATGAGCTTCCAGTTCTTGATTCTTTGTGACAGTTTCTGTGCTATTGGGGCTTTACTCATTAAAGTCTGCCTACACCAGTGTGTTCAAGAGTTTTATCTATTCTATCTTCCATCACCTTTAATGTTTCTGTTTCAATATTTAGATCTTTGATCCATTTTGAACTTAGTTTCCTTCAGCCCAATAATCTTAATGTAATTTCTAATTGCTTATGAATATGTATCTTCAAGTCCTTGAAGTAGCTTTAAAGCATAGTATAATCAGAAAAGTTTGCTTAGTACAAGGAGGCAACTCAAGTGTCAAAATTAATCTGTATAGAAAATTTATTTGATATGTCAACTTTCTGTGCTATAAACACCTCAGGGCAACTTCTTGTCTTTCCCCACACCCATTGAGGCCCTCTTTTCTTGCCGTAACGTTAAAATCATGTAAGCCAGTGTTTGAAGAGAGGATCTCAGTGGAATATAGGAAATGCAAAAAGTTGGCTTCTGGTTGAACTCTTCTGAGCAGGGCATTCTTAATGTTCTTTTTGATTGGGTGTATAGCCTCTGGGAAAGAATTTTAGGTGGGGAAAATGGTTCATCATTCCCAAGTTACACAGTTTGATTGGGGAAATAAGTTTTTTTTTTCTCTTAATAAACTTCATAAAACATCATAAAATCACAATGCATCGAACATTTATTCATGAGCCCTTCTTAAGTTTTTCCACAAATAAAAACATTTCCTTACATTGAGACATGAATGGTAATTTTAAACTGGCTTCATAGATAACTCATTTCCCACCATATTTTACTCAACTTCACCTACTTGTTAAACCCAAAGTCAGTGAAAGAAATTTACTGCTTCAGTGCTGACATTTTCCCCTCCCTGCTTGCAGAAAACTGTTTTTGCTATCATTTGGGAATCCCACATATACAGGAAGAGAAAAATATCAAAGTACAGCCTCCAAAGTTGATTTGCTACAGTTTGTTAGATTATATCAAACTTTAAGCCAAGTATGGTGGTCCACGTCTATAACCCCAGCTCCTTTGGAGGCTGAGGCAGGAGGGCCACAAATTCAAGGCCAACCTGGGCAATTTAGTGAGACTCTGTCTCAAAAAGAAAAGAAAAGAAAAAAGAAAAAATGGTTGGAGGTATAGTTCAGTGGTAGAGAGTTTGCCTAGTATGCATTGTGACCCTGAGTTACATCCCCAGTATTGGGGGTGGGGGGGAATATATATATATATATATATATATATATATATATATATATCTGGAAAATAGTAAGGTATATTTTTTTTCTGTAAAATCCACATCTTGTAATTTTGAAAAGATGTTGGTAGAAGGCCAATTTGGGACTGAAGGTTGGGAAATAATATACTTATATCCATTGAAATTCTAAAGGAATTTTCTGTGGAATAGAATCCTACAGAATTAAAACAAATTTTTGGTGACTGTGCTTATCAAGAATGTAATATTTTGGGTGTTACTCATAAGAGTAATTGGGTTACATGAAAAAAGTATAAAGTGTGATGGAAAGTATGATGACATTTATAATTGATGTAGGCAGGCAGTGGTAACTGGACTGTTGAAATCATCAATTGTAAAGTGTAAGTTTATAAAGTCAACCACATCACACACAAACACAAAAGTAAATTAAATCCCTTAAAAAGTAAAAAAATACACCAAATTTTGAGTTATTTATTGCTAAGAAATATTACATAACTATTCTGAAATTATTTTTATTATCGATTGTTTTCCCTTGGACATTGGGTAACAGAAGACAAAGGAAATCGAGGTAAATTAGGCACATGGCAAATAAAAAGCATGTAGTCATTTTTATTACATTGTAACTTATTTTTGCATTAAGAATAGATAAAAATTAATGTAAACTTGACATAGTAAGCATGCTTGACACTAACCAATTCTTCACATCACTATAAAACTATAGATGTAATACTGTTAACTAAGAACTTAATGTCTTATGCACGTAGAATAACTGTTAAATAAGATTATTTTTATGTAATGAAACATTTATAAATTATTATCTATTTTGACTAACATATAAGTATACCATACAAAAGCACTTTGTAGGTGCTGCAGATATTACATAATGTATAGCTGTTGTCTTTAGTGATAAATAATATAAGCTAACTTTAAAATCTAAACATTTGCCTACGCATAATTTCTTTTATTTTTAAATTAACTTATCTGCATTATCGCTTTTTTGAAAAGATTTTTATTTTAAAATTAAGGCTAAAAGAGAAACACTTTATTTTTAGAAGTTATTTTTATTCCCATTAAACTTTTAACTTTCTAAATTATCTTTTCTTTAGTTTGTAGTGAGTTTTGTTGAATAATAACGTAAGTAGCAGCAGTAATATATGAGACTGTATGATGTGCAGCTATATGACAGATACTGCTTGCTTAGTCTTTAGAATTTTGAAGGTAACTTTTTAATAAGCCACTGTTTGTATTAATAAAATAAAATGTTTCCTCCCCAACATGCAAAATTTAAAAAAGACACACGTAAATAACCATTATCATTAGTTCACAAACATATGCTATGGACCATCTACTATATATTATTTTATAGCTTTTCCAATGTAGTTTAGCTAACATTTTAGAAATATGTATTATTTCTAAATTCATATGCCTGTTTAAACTTCATTATCTCAAATGATACTGATAGAATGTCATGAAACAGTATCATAATATACATATAGACATTATTTTGATGCAATAAACATGTGCTTTTTAAGACTTTCTTAATAAACACACATGTTTATTCTTTGCTAAAACATGTTTCTACAAGTGCCATACCTATATTTTGCAAGTTTATATTGACCCAATTGAGACATTCTTGCTGAAAACATCTTTTCTTTGAAAGCTCCTTATAGTTAGAAATAAAGGCCCCTCCTTATTACAGAAAGCTGTTGTTTTACTTCCAGGAATCTGCTCCTTCACCAAATTGACATACTGTAAAACATAGGTCTGGCACTGAAACATGCATTTTTATATTTTTGCTCCTTACTAGCCAGATAACACATGAGATGCAATGATACTTCCACAAAGTAAACTTGTTATTGGTTTCTCTAAGCACAAAGCTATGTGACTGATACTGGATTTGTAGATCTTGCTGGCGTGGCTATTGCATCTTATGTGGGTTGTATCTGGTGTTTTATTATTTGTTTTAGAGTGTCATTTCAATGTAATGTGCTGTTCTTTGTGTCTTTGTTGTCTCTTTTTTTTCTTTGTCCCCCCAACAGCATTTTGTCCCGCACAGGGAAGAAGGAAAATCAAGATGCCTCCAATTTGACAGTGCCCATGACCATGTGTCTTTTTCCTGTGCCATTCCCACTCACCCCATCTCTAAGACCGCAGGTCAGTTCCATCAACCCTACTGTTACTCGCTCCCTCCTTTACAGCGTCCTGCGAGATGCTCCTTCAGAACGTGGCCCGCAAAATCGTGATGCTCAGTTGTCAGACTACCCTTCTTTGGACTACCAAGGCCTCTACGTGACTTTGGTGACTCTCCTGGATCTAGTTCCTTTACTACAGCATGGCCAACATGGTAAGCATTTAATTGAAATCTTTGAAAAATGTACATGTGTGCTATAAATGTATATGATACAGAGCAAGGGGCTTGGAGACAGTTGATATTTGTCACCAATTGCTTGAAAGTACTTTGTGTGGCTAAAGTCTTTCTTACACTAAAACTTCATCATGGTGCTTCCCACCCTATCATTTGAAATGGTTATACTATTGAGGAGTGTTATCCTGGTGTGCCTGTGAATGGGCTGGAGAATGGGCTGGAGGTTGGAGGAAGAATATTAACAAGAAGCTCTCTCTTCTTCCCTGATCAGTTGTGGGGACTCTTGTTGAAATTATGACTGGGAGCTAAGATTTTAAAACATGCCTCCAGCAAATGCAAAAGGTGGAGCTGGAAGAACAGACTCTAATCCATTGACGGATTCTGAGTTTAAGGGTTAAATAGCACCATCTGTATGGGGCCTATTTTTCTTGTCTTAAAATCAGGAGGTCAGATAAGAAATCACTTCAGACTTCTTCAAACAAGAATTCTTTCAAACTTACTGCACAACAAATTATTAATACAAAATACTGTATCAGGAAGTTCTAGTATACAATGTTAGTGTGGTCTAGAATAGAAGAGAGCATGCTTCTTTTCTTATCTCTTCCCCTTTGTACTACGCGTCTTGAGCTAATTTCATTATTGGTTACTAAAATTTTCTAACTCATACAAAAAATACGGTGCTAGCAAGTATTGCTTGGATTATCCAGTATGAATATGGGAGATTCAAATGGAAAATTGTACAGTAGGAAGAGATTTGTTGCAGAAAATAAACTTTAAAACAGAAATATTCTTAATTTCAAGAGATTGATAATTTGATTCCTGAAAGTATGATAACCAAAGTTTCACGTACTGAAAAGGTAGAATTTTGGAAACTGGTGGCACTGTGTTTGTGAGTGATTATTTTGCCTTTTAACTATAGATGTCTTTCCTTGCTTAATAGTTTATTTAGTATGTGTATTCCTAATATATTTTTTTAAAAAACTACTTTTGTAAGAATGATGCAGTAATGATTATTGAATTTGTTTTTTTCCTTATTTTTACTGTTGTGCAACATAGTGAATATAAAAGTGTATAAATTTGTGGAATTTTTTTTTGTATACTTTGTGGCTGTCTTCACCCTAGTTGCCTTTATTTTGATCCTTTCCCAGCCCAGAATCTAAGTGAGACAAATCTGAACTTGAGACTGTCAGAGCTTTCTATAGCCCTGAGCTTGTCAGCACCACTTCTTTATGAAGCCCCAGTGCTGAGCTTGTCACGAACCTGCCTGCTCCTGCCCACTCAGTTAGGGCAGCCCGCCTTTATCTTCAAGATCCTTGATTAAGATAGATATTCAGTCTGGTAAAACACAGACCATATAATTGTGATTAATGTGTAAATTGTGACCACTCGGGGGTGATCTGCAGTTTTACTCTTACTCCTACTGCGGTTTTGTAACTTTGCTCTTCATTGTTATCTATCTATTGTGTTCTTATTCTTCATAATAGGGCTTACTGATAGGAAAAAACGCCATAGTTTCTCTAGTGAGTGATTTAGAGAGACAAGGTAGCATTGCTTCTGTAAGCATGGTCTGAAGAACCTCAGAAACACCTAGGGAGTTTAGAATATGGGGTTCTTGGATACGAGACACAGAAGGACGGGACCTGAGATCTGAAGTTTAAGCCAGCTTCCTATGGATGGTTTTTTTTTTTTTTTTTTTTTTGCACATTGAGATAAGAAGCACTGCACTATGGCTAGAGGCTGTATCCTCACTCTGGATCCCAGAGGCCACATTACAGAGTGTTTTGTTGTTGTTATGCTTTGTTTTCTTTTGTTGTTGCAATTCAGCAGTGAATACTCAGGTGATCTTGGGTAATCATTTTCCCTCTCCAGATCTTTGTATTCTTATGTGAGAAACACTCCACGTGGAGTACTAACATTCTGTAACTATGCTGAAAGGCTCAATGAGAGCAGCTTTAACACAGTTTAAGGTGATCAATAAAACATCTGAGAATTTTACATTTTATTGATTTGAGCCCAGTGCTCCCTGAACCTGGGTCTCCAGTGATCAATGGGGTTTCCTCCTCTCTGTTGTCACTTGTTATGTATGTTGAGATAGCATATCAGTTCTAATAATAATCAGAAATGACATTAGGAATAAGAATAACATTAAAAAGGTAAATCTGTAAAATAGACAAAAGCATAATACTTTACTATTATAATGGATACAGAAATGAGCAGTCTTCGTTGTTGAGTGTTGGCTAATGGTCTATATTTTGGGAGGTTCAGAAATATGAAAATGTATACTTTTCTGTATTATGGAATTTATGTGTATTCTAAAACTAAAGTTATTTTTTGAGTGTCTCCTACTGTTCTTCTAGCACAGCTACAAATAATAGTATTAATATTAATAGGAACAGCTAATATTTGTGGAGAACAAAGAATACTATGCTAACTCCTTTACATTTCTCTTATTTAAACCTTACGACAATCCTTCTAATGAAGTGAGGTAGGTATTGTTGCCATCCTCATGAAAAACATTGATAGATCATTATTAGGAGGCAAGGTGATTTCCTCTATCTTGATTTCCTAGATGACTGATGACTGGGTGCACGGGGTTATGCAGTACCATCTCACAGATTCCTTCTTTTGTTTATTTATTTGTTTATTTGTAGACAAGGTCTGGCTATACAATTCAGGCTGGCCTTGAACTTGCTTTGTAATCCAGGCTGGTCTTGAACTCACAATGATCCTCCTGCCTCAGCCTCCTGAGTGCTGGGATTATAGGTGTGCACCACCATGCCCGGCTCAGATTCCTTCTTCTGGTATATTGCCCACAACTCCAGATGTAGGATCATTGTAATTTGGTTGGTGGAGCATAAGCCCCTGGTTTTATTTTGATCCTGTGTTTTGATAAAGTTCTATCCCTGACTTTGCTAAAACTCCCCGTGGGTAAGTAATCTAACATCTTTGTGCCTCAGTTATCTTATATAAATTGTAATGGAGGTCAGAATATTGGAGGAATTTAGGGCTTCATTTTCACATAGAAAAGGCTTTGAATTTATGAAATCAAGAGGCAATATGAATACCAAATATTACTAATTGTTCATATGTCATAAATACTGAGGCAAGCTCATATATTAGATATTTATATTTTTTAATATATTCACTCATTGGCCATTGACCAAGTCCTGTATGTATAGTACACTGTACTAAGCAGTATGTTTCAGAACTCAAAGTAGGAAGGCAAAATTAGTTGCTTATAATTTAAACCAGCTCATTAAATTTAAAATGTAAAATTAGTTATATTTTTTAATGACACAATATACGGTGACTGATTACTCAATTTTGTTTTGTAGATCTTGGACAGTCAATATTTTATACAACTACTTGTTTGCTACCCTTTCTCAATGATGATATTCTGAGTACTTTGCCCTACACGATGATATCAACGTTAGCTACCTTTCCTCCATTTCTGCACAAGGATATTATTGAATATCTTAGCACATCTTTCCTACCAATGGCTATATGTAAGTTCAATCTTACCTAATTCTAGATTATTTTTATGTATTATACAAATGGAAATTGCTTTTAATAATATAGGCTCTTGTTTTTCAAGATTATAATGGAATCATTTGCTGTATACATATACTATGGTTTAAATTCAACATTTTAGCTTGGATATTATTATAAAAACCCAAGAAATAAAAGATAATTATACTTTAGAATTGTTTTATTCATTTAGTTTGTTGTTACAGAAAGAACTTGTCAAAACACAATGTGTATTTCCTACTTGTAGGTTACAGTGTTGCCTCTGATGTAGAAATTTTCATCTTTTGTATCAGAAAGCAGTAGGGTATATGATGCAAAGAGTCATAGAATTCGATGTGTAGATTCTGGTTCCAGCTCTGTTCCTAATTTGCTGTGTGATATTGGGCAACTCAGAGTTGAAACCTCATCCATATACTGATGATCCACTAGCTTTCCCTTGCAGGTTGTTGTGGTGATAAAATTGGTCAAAACTTGCAACTCATGTGCAAGAATCAGTTACAAACATATTGCTGATTTAATTCTTTTTTTTACTGTTGTAGACTTCTGTTGGCTTATCAAATATGAAAGCAAAGGAAAAATGTTGGGTTGTGATTTTTATGATCAAAATGCTTCTAAAGCATTCTTTAAATAAATGGATTATGGATTAATCTATGTTTCAGTAGATAGCCTGAAAAGATTGTAGATTTGGGAGTCAAGTAGATCTAGATTCAAATCACAGTACTGCCGCCAGCTAGTTGTGTGACTTTAGCAGTTACTAAATCTTTGTTTCTTACCTGTACAATGACAATAAGTGTAGCTGTTTCATGAGGTTGTTGTGATGATTAAGGTGATTAATTTGGAACATTAGTTAAGTGCCAACACAATGCCTGGCAACCAGTAATGTTAGCTTATTTCTCTTCTTCCCTCTTGTTCTATAAAATTACCTTTGGTGATCAAATTCACCTCCTGATCATTGCTCACAAATTTTAATGTACTTATAATCTTTTCAATGTTATTTTTGTCAACCGTTGGTAAACATATATACATTTTGAGCTACATTTACTTATTTTATATCAAGTTTAATTTGAGGTATGGAATTGTAATTTTTATATCTTTTCAGCAAAGACTGTGATTTTTTACCTAAGTTATATTATCAGTAGGCTGATCATACCATTTATTTAATAGAATATTTGGTCATTCTCTTTTCTGTTCTATGTAACCTTCTGGATAAATACTTGTTTATGTGTAGATTCTGGTTCCAGCTCTGTTCCTAATTTGCTGTGTGATATTGGGCAACTCAGAGTTGAAACCTCATCCATATACTGTTTTCAAATTGTGTAGTCATATTTTAAAATAACCAATGTTAACTGTTAAACATAGGCATAAAATTCCTGTTTTTCTTTTGAAGAATGATAGACGGGGATGTGTACTTTTCTTGTAACTAATTTACTGTATCCTATTTTTTTTAGGACTAAGTTACTAATTTTAGGAGAAGAATTGAATAAAGTAGACTTCCGAAATTATGATTTATTAGGTATTTTGACAAATGAAATTTCATTTACTTATATTTAATTATTAATTTCTGCTTAGAAATACAAAACCTCACATGCACCTTGTAATGTGCAAATCTTGGCAAGAGCAAATTACTAAGCTGGGTCACATTTGTGATTAGTGGAGTAACAAGGTTTGTTCGAAGGTCCAAACAAATTGCTTCACATCTCTGAGACTTAACTTTTTTTCAGGTATAAAGAAGGGGTTGGGGAAAAATATTTAGCCGCTAAGGTTACTTCTGGTTTAATAATTGTAGGCGGAATCTTATTTTATGTCATCAGTTGTATTTTCTGTAAATGGCGTGTGTCTTCCACTATCCTACTTTGTTGATCCAATTCATGTGTTTGTTTTGTTGCTTTGGTTTTAGTCTCTTAGTTTTGACCTCATTTCTTAATCATCATTCTGGTAGTTTGATAGTAGCCAATTTTTAAATCTTTAAAAGTAAATCGCAGCACCAACCTTAACTCTGCTCTTAAGGGTTGAGCTCCTTTAGATTAAGTATCTGCATAACATATATGGCCTTCATGCCATCTTTGTCGGTAAATAAATGCTATACTTTTATTTTTAAATAACTCTCTGAGGTCTGTGGAGCAAAGAAAATTTATTTATTATAAAACTTTTCTTTGGCATACTTTTCCTTTTTAACTTCTATTATAAATACATTTCATTTTTTCCATATGTGCTCATTGTTTGTAGAAAATATACTAAAGGAATTACTAAGAATTGAAAAGTCATTTGCATGTCACCATGGTAACTTCTTCCAATAAAGGATCTGTTATTTGTGGACTGAATTGAAATATGGATATTTGGAAGATAATTCTTTGGCAAAAAAGAGAAAAAGCTGATTCCAAAGGAAAATTAATCGATGTGGGCTACTTTATTTAACAGATATTAATAAAACTAAGGAATTATGTCAGTTCAAGATGCTTCTAGTATATCTTAGTATTCAGGACTATGCAGTCTCATTGAGTTTATTTTTCTATTTAGATTTTCCTCAGAAAATCTTTTGCTGCAGGAAAAATAAAGGGTTTTTCAATGTTTGCTTTGATTTAAAAGTGATAGTGTACTTAATTGAATGTCTGGTTCTGGACTGTTGGTCATGGATCATTTTTTGTTTTGTTATTACTATAACATCTGATACAAGATATATTTCTATGATCTTCCAAAACTAGTATTTCATAAAAAAAGATAGTGACCAATAAATGCAAAATATTTATGACATTTAAGTAATGTTTTAATACATGTACTGTATTTTATTAGCCTAGGATTATTTTATAAGGTAGGTCTTATTATTATGATTTTTATTTTTGAATTGTGAAAAATATTATGGTACAGAAATTCAGAAGAGCTTCATGATTGTCCTTTGGCTGTAGCATATCTCATAATCTCATCATACTTTACTTTCCTTAGCTGTAAAAGTGTCAGTAATCATGACTTCCACTGTCTACATCCCATGTTTGTTGTGAAGATCATGAGATAACATGTGGGAATGACCTCTGAGTATTCTATGACATTGTGCCAAGTGTATCATGGGCCAGATGGTAGTCTAATTGCAGACATGTTAAGTCCTATTGCAATTGATTCTAATATTATTCTGAAATTTTCATGTTGTTTTGAAATTTTATTACTTGATATTAATTGTAATCCTTCAGAGCTTAGAATTTTCTCTCCTTGTTTTGCTGTATAATAACAACAGTTATTATAGCAGGTTTGTTATAGCATGTCTTAGAACATGGTAGTACTTCTGCAGTGTTGGTGGGCATTCTGTTTTTAGGGGTTTTCATCAGCCTCAGAATCTGCAAGTATTTTAATAGACTTCAGGGTCACGATGTGTTAGTCTTTCCTTTATGCTAAACTGCTATGGCATGGTTTTCATATATTCAAACCCTCTCTAATGGAACAGACTACCTCTGTTTTTAAGGCTTGAGTGGAGGATCAACTATGTGTCCCTCCAGTAATGCAATCTGGTGAAGTGTAGGAAATGGCTTTGTCATGTGCACCAAAAAGTGTTCTTTTTCCCATGACTTCCCCTGTTGTATCATCAGAAAAATATGGCCAGAGGAATTCATTTTAAAATATTCCAATTCAGACTACTTCTTACCACTGTCTTTCACTAGGAGAATAAATTGGTCTTTTGCTTCCCTTCTTATCTCTTCTAGGATTAATTTGTCCTCCTAACTGGACTTCTTGCTTCCCATCTTACCCTTGCTTCTTCTCCACAAAAAAGCCACAGGTGTCTTTCAGACGTGTAAACTAAATCATGTCACTTACATCATCCAAAATATCTAGTTTCTCATCACTCTTGCAAACCCTATTCAGTGTCCTTACTTGACTTGTAAGGCCCTCTGTAATCTGGCCACTGCCACCCTCACTGCATTGTCTCTACTTCACGTGTCCACTTTGCATTGTACGTATTAGCCTTTCTGTAGTTTTACACTTAGCTTTGTGTTTGCTCAATGCATTTTCCTGTCTCAGAATCCTTCTCCCATATAATCACATGATTTGCTTCCTTACTTTCTTTAGGTCTCAGCTCATGTAGCATATATTCCAAAAGGCCTTTTCTTATCTTCTAGTTAACATAGAACCTTCCATTGCCTTCTTTCTATTCCTTTACCTTGCTTCCTATTTCTTCACTGGCATATGTTTGCCCTTTCCTCTCAAGCAGTACATAAGAGGTAAGAAAAAAATACTGTTGAATAAATGAGTGATTATAGTAGGTTTGTTATAGCCAGCCTACAGTGGCGATATGAGTGATTAGAGCATTTGGCCACAAATTTCTAGTGACTTGGACTCCAGTCCTAATGTTGGTACTCTCACCCAAATAATTTGGTCTATCTTTTTTATAAAATGGCCTTTTCTATATATATTTTTTGGAGAAAGAATCATATAAGAGCTGTACCTGATAATACATTGGAACTATAAAGTAGAAGAACATGTTAAGGGATTAATAATACCCAAGGAATGAAGAATTATGGTAATGATTGTCCTGATGGTGCTGAGAGTATAGAGAACAGGACTGAAAACACTTAACTGTGTTTCTTGAGAACAACATTAAGTATACAAATTTTTATTTTTGCTGTCTTCTCCTTCTTGTATATTTATTTTTATACATTCATAGGGATAAACTGTATATATGTTTATGTTATGCCTTTTAAACAAGATTCAATAAGTTATGTGTGCTTCTTTATTAAATTAGAGTTGCAGTGATTTATTGATTATAGTAGAAGGCTATGAAATTGCAAGGTACTGTCTGCTTACGTATGTATTGGAGTCAATTTCATATGGTTTTAACCAGGTGGACACTTTGGCTTTATGACTAATATACTTGAGGGATAGCATGGGTTCATAGGGTAACAGGGACACCCAAAGGTTGTTGAGCTGTTTGGGCAGTTCCCAAAATAGACTTCACCTAAATCATTTCAAGACAGTTGGGCATCTCTCCCATTTTTAAAGACCTTTGGGCACAATGACTCTTAACAGTGATTTCATTGTTGCAAAATGGTTATTAAAAGTTTGACATGACTTGAAACCTAGACAGAAACATGTGTCCCCAAAACTCAGTCAGTCTGTCTCTTTGTTTATAGGCATGAGGAATATTATATACACAATTATTTTTGTGTATATAATGCTTTGTTTGTTACCTTTCAAGGTACTTTCTTTTTTGTTTCTCACTCTTCTAACAGTATTTCTCAAAGGGATGCTCAAGGCCAGCTTGCACCAGAATCTCATGTGCTTATTAATTTAACGTGGAATTTCCTCCTTTTCAAAATGGTAGTTAGAATCTCTAGATATGGACTCTCAAAAAACTGAATTTGAAAGAGATCCCTGGCTAAAAATTTGAGAGCAATCGCATCTTATTCTTCAGCATTTGACTCAAAGTTCTTTTTCCTTAATTACATTTGATTTAATCAAGTTTACCATCTAAGAACAATGTTCTGATTTTTGTCTTTGTCTAATTACTAGTACTTATTTATATGATATGAAATAATTTACTTTAGCAGCACTAATGAGCAGTGATTGAAAATACAATGAGTATTTAAGTTATTACAGTAAAAGATATATTGCATTTAATGCCACTCAGAATATTTCCTTTTACTTCAAACCCACCTGTGCCATCATTTTGGCCACTTTCTGTTTTTTGGTCTTTTTGTTTTGTTGGTACTAGGGATCAAACTCATAATCTTGCACTTGCCAAGCAAGGCTTGCGCCACTGAGTTATATCCCCAGCCCTTCTTGCCATCTTCTGAAGCAGTTATGCAAGTTGTGTTTTGTAAGCATCTATGGTTGCACTGTCATGGCTGTCTTGATGTCCTGAATCAATTGAAGTGTTTATACCTTTTATGATCATTTTCACTCTGGGAAGATCCAGAAGTAGCATGTTGCCAGATCTGGTGAATAAAGTTGAAAACACACCATCGTGCCTTTAGAAGCCTGTTTTTCTGTTGAATGGCCCTCAGCAATAGTGGTTGCTGTATTTTTGGTTATACCTTGTAAAAAGGCTCACAAAATGGAACTTCCAGAATTCCTTCAGAAAATGCCAAGAATGACAAATAAGTGTATTCAAATGGAGGGAGAGGATTTTGAGAGAGATTAATGGCAATGTGTCTTTTACAGTAATAAGTTTAAAAAATTACATTCACTGTATGTTTCAATCAAAACCCATCGCTGCAAGAGATTAATAAAAACAAACAGGTTAAAGGAAGTCAATTATGGAGCTGTTTTGTTTGATCTGTAAAGCTGTTGTAAAGGCCACTGTGCATAATGCCGTTGAATCTATTTTCATATATTTTATTATAAATTGTCTTTTTCTTTTTGGAAAAAGGTGAGCTACATTTCCCATGTAGTATAATTTCATATAAAATAAAGTAAAGCAGGTTGGAGGTTATTTGTTTTTTGATTACTGCCCATGTAAGTAGTCTTTTACATATAGAAAATTTAAAAGTTGACTTTCTGAGGGGTTTATACTTATTCTATCCTGCTCTTGCTTGGCAATTTGCCACATAAGCTCATGTATTAAGAAAACTTTCTGTTATTTCTGCAGTTATCTCTAGAAAAGAGAAATTTCCTTTATATTTGACCCTTAAAGTTCATCCTGTTGTGGGTCCTCTCTCAAATAGTGTGTTTGGGAAAACAAAGTACCCATGGATAACATATCCCTCCCAGTAACTTTCATCAGTGGTAGTTTGGAATGCTTAATGGAGTTACTTCATACACTCTTGTTTAAAAAAAGAGACGTAGTAATACGTTAGTGTTGGATGTCACCACAAACAAGACACTTAAAGATGTTTTAAAAGCAGTATATTAAATAGAGATCATGATTTTAAGATGGATTTTGAAGAAATACACTTATTTTGTGATGGAATATCTATTGGCTTATGATAAAATGTACAAAATTCAAAAGGTACTTTACATCACACAACTCAGACGGATATGAAAATGGTACGCTTTGGTAAACTAAAAAAACTGTCTTTCAAAAGACTGTTTAATGATGTGTAAGCATTGGAAATAAAGTTTAAGTTAATATATTTTTATTACACATGATTTTAAATTTGCATGTGCAATTACTTTCTTAGTTGCTTAAAATTTTATTATTTGAGTTTCTTATTAAGTTTACTGGTACAATTTAGATGTACATAATGTCACAGTTTGTAATAACTAAGTCTTGGAAACAACTCAAATGCCCATCAACCAATGAATGGATAAAAAAGATGTGGGTTTTTTGCATGAGTAATTAAATAAGAGGTTATACATTATACCAGCTTATTTCATGCTTATCCTTACAGGGTAATACATTCAAATTGGGCTTATACATAAATCTTTTACTTTATTATTGGGAAAACCTTAAACATGCTTTTATATTTAGGCATGTAGAGGTAGAATTTTTTCTTTCTTTTCCATCTAGATATAAACATCTTGAGAGTAGAGATCACACTGAAGTTTAACTCTGATAAAGTCATTACATCACATTCTGGCATTATTCCTTCATCTTGCAATTATCTCTAGGTGTTTGTTGTGGCATTATATGCAAGAAAATTTTTGGGATTTTATTTGTGCAAAATATTCATTGATTTGATTGGGACTTTGAAATTCTTTCTTAGTTTTCATGCTCTATACAAAGTAACAAGTGTTTATGCCATATGTATGGGTTAAACTTTGTCTAATACAAAAATTTTTGGTTTCAGTGGGTTCCTCCAGGAAAGAAGGCGTTCCTGCCCATGTGAATCTGTCTGCATCCTCCATGTTAATGATTGCAATGCAGTACACATCTAATCCAGGTAAGCAGAAATATGAACAGCTTGACTAATTCCAAAAATAATCACTAAATAAGATGTTAAACAAGGCAAGCTGGAAGGTTTCCTTTAAGAACTTCTCTTGGTAGAATAGACAATTTGAGATGTGTGAGAAATAAGACTTTAGAATTAAAATAAATTTCTCTTGGCTACTGCTAGTAGTAGTGAACTTGCTGGTCAATGATATTTTAGAATTTATGAGGGTGCAATTTTAGAACATTTACTTGAAATTGATTAAATATATGTATATAGAAATAGTTAAACTAGAGAAATATAAAAGCCACCTGCAATTTTGGCAATTAAAGATGCTTAGTTTTAATAATTTAATAAATTTTTTTCTCTAATGCCATGTGAATGTCCTTTTACTTAGAAGAAATTATAAAAGAAGAATTAATGAGTTAAAATTGAAAAAAATTTCAATTTTCTCAGTATTTGTTTATGAAGGCACTTATTTTATTGTGACCTGTCATTGCACATTATGATGAAAAATTATAGTAATAATAGGCCATCTTATTTTCTGTCTTGGATTACTAGTGATGTTGGATAGGTTCGTGTATGACTTAACTCTTCTTGATTTCCTTTTGTCGGCACAGTCACAGATGAACTTGGAAATCTGACCTAAAAGAGAGCTGACCATTGGAGTCATATGCTAAGATATGAACTCACTTTTTATTTTCATTTAATATTTATTTGGAAAGTGAGAAACATTCATAGCATTCTTTTTAGCTTTCTATATAAGTTGACTAATAATTGAGCTTTTGACAGAGGATGAAAAAATATATGTATGTTTTCATTTCAAAATCTTAGTGCTTCTTTGGTCTACAGTATCACCACCCTTGTCATTTTGTCCTTTGAGATACAGTCTCCCTGTGCTGCCTAGGCAGGCTTCCAACTCTTGGGATCAAGTGATCCTTCTGCCTCTGACTCCTGTGTACTTAGGATCAAGGCTTTGTCTTCGTCTGGGCAGCTATACAAAGCACCATGAGCTGGGTGGCTTGCAGACCACATTAATTTCTCACACTTCCAGAACCTAGGAAGTTAAGATCGAGGTGCTGTCTTCTATTGAGAGGGCTGCCTAGCTCTGCTATTAGTTGCTTGACTGTGACCTTAATGGTCTCTGTTTCTTATTTGATTAGCAATTCTGTCTGTAAATAATTTTCCTCTTTTGGGATTTTGCTATAAGGAATCAGTAGAAGGCCACTCTTTCAACACTTCTCTAAGTAATTTCTTCAGCCAAATATATACTTTGTCACTCACAAGCTCTACCCTCTACAGAACACTGGGATATGAACAAAATTCAGCAAAGTTCTTTTCCACTTTATAACAGCAATGGCCTTTCTCCAGTTTTCAATAACACATTCTTCATTTCTGTCTTTTATCTCATCAGAATTGCCTATACTGTTCATATTTCTGCCAATATTCTTTTTTGGATCACATAAACACTCTTTAATAAGATTCAGACTTTCTGTACAGGTTTTCCTTCCTTTTTTCTTTTCAAGACCTCACTAGAACTTTCTTTAAAAATCCATTTATACCAATGTAGGCTTTTCTAGAATGCACTCTGAAATTCTTATAACTCCTATTTATTAGTCATTTCAAAGCTGCTTCAGCATTTTTGGGTATTTTTTACAGCACTGCCCCACTACTTAGTACTAATTTTCTGCTTTAATCTGCTCAGAATGCTGTAACAAAAGTTACCCATAAACCTCTAGTGGGCCCACTTCTTGATTCACAGATACTGTCGTTAGGGTGTGTCTTCAAATGGCAGAAAAAGCAAACAAATTCTCTATAATTTATTTTATAAAGTACTAATTCCATTCATGATAATTCTGCCTTCATGATCTAATTATCCCCCAACAACCCCACCTCCTTACACTATGTACTTTGGGGTTTAGTTTTTAACATATGAATTTTAACATATTTAGTCCATAGCATCCTTAAATCTGAAGTTTGTTATGATTACCAAATGAATTTAACTAAAATGTGTATTTTGGGAAAGTTATATCTCATTCTCACTCTGTTTAAAGGACTGTCAAAATATAATTATATTTACTATATATTGTCTTCTGGGGAAAAAAAGTACTTCATTTGGAATCTAGTTAAAGTCTTCTGAAGTTTAATGTTGAAAGGCAGTAAAGCAGGATGGATAAAATAATGTATTTTGAGGTTAGATGTATATGGATTCATATCTGAGTTTACCTGCAAATTGCCTATTAGTGTAAACTTGAACAATCTCATTAAGGCCAAGTTTCCTTATCTATAAAATGGGAATAATTCTTAAAAAATTTTTGAAGAATATAATAAGTTAAATATATGTAAATTACTTACTTGGCGTAATGACTGGACTATTATAAGTGCTCAATAAATAGCAATGCTAACCCTACAATTTGACATTTTCTTCTTTGAGTTGTATACTTCAGTGAAAAATTGCTGTGATCAAATGGTTATGTTACTGCCAAGTCTTTATCATTTTTTTTCATGATTAGTCTCTCCATTTATTTATATATTTTATTACTCTTAGTCATAGTTCATAGCTTTTATTATACAGGTTTGCCATATTTTTATCCTGAAATATTTCATTTTGATGATCTTTTAATGGAGTTTATGTCCTTTTGCTAATTCCTTGCTGTTAGCATATAAAACTACAGTTGATTTTAAAAAAATTTTATTTAAAGAGAAAAAAAATAAAACAAAAATGGTAGAAATAATACATAATTTCAAAAAAATAAACAGTAAGAAATCACTAGTTGATAAATTACATATTGTCCTCTTCGAAATAGTTGTTCAAGTTACAAAAGTAAAGCATACAAAGTGGACATTCAAACAGTGAGACTGCAAACAGTTCCTACAGTTGATTTTTATGGTAAATTTACATGTTATTCAGGTCATTGTTTTGTGTATTAGTGTTTTTACTCTAAACAATCATGTCATTTCCAATTTACATTAATTTTAGTTATTTTCTATAGGAATTCTATTTGGTAAAACTGACAGTTTTAAATATTATTTTAATGTTATATGTCTTTAAAATATTTTTATTAGTACATAGTTGAAGAATATAATGATTACATATATTTTATGGAATTGTTATATGTGCATAATGCATCTTAATTTTTTTTTTCTTTGTCCCCTACCTTTCTCCTCCCTCCCTGTTCCTTTCAACTGTTGGTCCTTTCCTACTTGCAAAAGCTCTATTTTTATTTTTTCTTCAATTTTTTTCTCTTTTTTTCATCTCTTTTCCTTTCCCCTTCCTGTCAGTTTCCCCACTCGCTTGAAAAAGATCTATCTTCTTCCTATTTATCTTGTATTTTTCTCTCTCTCTGCATAAATATATATGTATATTTTTTCTCATATTAGAGAAACTGCTATATTTAAGCTTGTATGTCTGGCTTATTTGAGTTAGTATTGTGGTTTTGATGTGTCCATGTACCTACAAATGTTTTAGTTTATCTTTCTTTATTTTCATGTGTCCATACGGGGAAATGTTTATAGTCAGGTATTCCATACTAGGATTTATATTTCTGACCCAAAACTAGTCCTGTAATGTAGGAAACAGCTAAGAAGTGAGACAGTATCCACCAGGGGTGCTTTGGGCTCAAGCACTAGGGCATTCTTTTGCTTAAATTTTTGTTGATAGAAGCAAGAAGTGGCAGCTTTGTTCTTACAGTTGATTGTATTTTAACAGCAGAGGATAGTAGTTGCTCAGGTAACTCCTGTGTTTGTGCCTTTGTGCTTGGTTTTGTGAAGACCACACCAGAATATAAAAATAGTTGTTATGGAACACATGTTTAGTTGGGCATACCAAGTATATTCACAGAAATCAGTAATTAAAAGTGAAAGTTGTATGTGAAGAACACCAAGAAATGGTGTAGATGGTGTTAATTCATTATAAAGAGAGAACTTCATAGATCAAACTGATCAGGAAAGGCATCATGCCACTTGAGCGAAGAAAACATGGATACAGTTTTGATTGATAGGGTAAGTGGGGCATTCTGGGAGGGAAGCAGTTTAAACAAATGAGCTTTTTAGGAATGTTCATGGGGCAGTTGGCAGAGCTGAACAAATTTCATGTAGCAGATCCACGTAGAATAGCAAACACTGTGTAAAAGACAGTGTCCTAGTACATCTGTTCTTGAGTTCTCAGTGGTGGTTTAAGGGGAAAATTCCATTTCTATAGTGACTCTTCAATAAATAGCCACTGAGTATGGAGCACGATGGAGAGGGAAACAGAACTGACTCCTGCGTTCACCTATCATATGGTAGTGCAGGGAGAATACATTAATCAAGTAATCATACAATGCAGTATGAAGCTGCAATCATAAGAAGTGCTTAAAGTATCTTGTGTTACTATACTCTATAAAAGAAAATTTTGTGCTGGATGTAGTAGTACATGCTTATAGTCCCAGCACTTGGGAGGCTCAGGCAGGAGGCCATGAGTATGAGGCCAGTTTAAGCTACTTAGTGAGTTCAGATAGTTCAAGCCTAAACTACAAAATGACACCCTGTCTCAAAACAAAGCAAAACAAAACAAAACTCATTAAGGAGATCAGAAAAGCTCCAGAGAGAGCAACTTTTGGTCTGAGAATTAAGTGATAAGTACCGTTAAGCTGGGGGTAGGATAAGGGTTCAGGCAGAGGAACCTTGAGTGTCAAGAAGGAGCTTGTTAAAGTGGTAGGACTGAAGGATCAGTGTGGCCCTGTGGGTGAGGGTTGCCTGCTGTGACATGAAACTTAGAGAACAAGCAGGATGGCCTGGGCTCTGTTAGGGAGCCCTGTGTTTATATTGGGGGGAGCTCTGAAGGGCTTTGAGTGAATGCACATGTGTCACTGTGGTTCCAGTTGAGACTGCATTGAAGAGGAACCAGATTAGGTATAGATAGAACAATAAAGAAGTCACTTATTTGTTTAAGCATGTCAAAAGCAGGGGCAATTGAAATTGAGGAAAGTAGACTTACTGAGAGCTATTGAAGAAGTAAAATGAATAGGTCTTGGTGACATTGAGTAAATTTCAGACTTGTACTAACTGGATGCATGGTTTTTCTGTTCACTGATAAAGAAGATACTAACAGATGATTATGAAATCTATTTTGGGCATATGTTCAAAGTGCCTTTAGGACACCTAACAGAAAGTACATGTAGTTGCGTTATGGGTCGAGAGTTCAAAACAGAACTCTACACTATAGGTAATGAAATTTTAGGCTACATGGAAGTGTTCAGTGACTTTCACTGAATTACACGTTGATGCTAACTTGGTTATATGAATGTGAGATTGCCTAGGGAATACCCCTGAATGAAAAGTAGAGTGGGTCAGGCATGGTGGTGCACCTGTAATCCCAGTGTTTCGGGAGCTTGAGGCAGGAAGATTGAAAATTTGAGCCTAGCCTGGGAAATTTAGCAACTTAATGAGACCCTATCTCAAAATAAAAAAATTTAAAGAGTGATTAAAAAGGGCCAGAGCTGCAGCTCAATGTGAAGTCCTCCTGTTCAGTTCCCAGTACTGTTCTCCTGCCCGAAATCTTAGAAATTCCCACAATGGAACAAGGGCCACTGGATGAAGAGGAAATTGCTAAGGACATTGAAAGGTCTCTGGCTAACAGAGACTTGAAACTATAATCATATTTGCAGTTTGTTTATTAGGAAATCTTAAGATAGCTCTGCAATGATAGGAAGCTGAGACGATATCTTTGTGTTTCTCTTGGACCTCTCCACATATTTGTACAATATTGGCCACTGTAGAGGATATTATAGCTCCACACAACCAGTCAGTCATTGGAGAAAAGTCTCTTTTCTCCAATTCTTTTCTTTCATCAAGAGAAGGGGAGAGGGAGAAAGATGAAAAGAAAAGATGAGAGATGGAATGGGGGAGAGGTAGAGGGAGAGAAAAAGAATTATGTCTCAGAAATTCTCCAGAAGGTTATTTTGTAAGTCTCCCTGGCTACAACTAAGTCCTGTATCCACCTTAGTTGCAAGGAGGTCTGGGGAGCTTGTGTGTTGGCAGATGACAAAGAAGAAAGTGTTGTTGATAACAATAGTGGTGTCACCACAGATGAAAGAATGAGTCCTCAAGGTGCGAGGCCTTTAAAAGGCGACTGGTCAGAAGAACTGACTATTGCTGAAAAGCCAAGAAAGATGCAGACTGAAATATGACCATCGAATTGAATGACCTAGAGGTCATTGGTGACTAAAATGAGACCAACTTCAGGGCCACGGTGGAGCTAGAAGGTAGATTAGGGAAAGCTGCAAACTAGGATGAACGCATTTTTCTTTTTAAGTGAACAAGGCCCATCCAGGGGTCTTGTTCTTGTGTAGCTTCTAGGAATTCCTCTGTAAGATGGAATAAATGATCAAATGGTGAGAATCACATTCTCATCCCGTCAGTATGTCCCTTGCATTCTATCCATCCTTAAGTGAGGTTGAGAATGAAGTCTCAGTTTCTTTCAGCAACAGGCTCTCAGCATAATGGCTGGTGCATAATGAATACTCAATAAATTTAATCTTTTACTGATGTCTTATTTGGCTACTTTTCCCCCCATACATTTATTTAGTACACTCACTGATACAAGATTATGGTGCTGAAATATGGTTGCTAAAGACTTTTCTTAATATGTCTTTTATAAATATGATGTGTGAAATATTGCTCAAGGATCTTGGAATAAATCTTGATGAAGTCAAGGACTAATACGATTTTTACAAAGTATGAATAAAAGTGGATAAATAATTTTCAATTTAATGATTAGAGTGAAAAGTCATGCTGAAGTAGTTAATTATATCTCAGAGGATGTTTTATATGGTATTTACATTTCACATACAAATCGCATTTTCTTTCTTACAGTGTATCATTGTCAGTTACTGGAATGCCTCATGAAATATAAACAAGAAGTTTGGAAAGTAAGTTTTGGGTCAAATTTAAGCCACAATCACTAACTTATATAATATAATAAAATTGTTCTTACATTACAGCTATTACGTGGGTCAAATTTATCAGTGTCTTATTCTTTTTATGTGACAGGGCTTATGCTTTTTAGTTAGCTTTTAGAGCAGAAGCAAAACTTTAAAAACAAGCTGTTTTAGGGCTAGGAATGTATGAGGACCTGGATTCAATTCCCACTTTTAAAATAAAGAATAAACTGTCTTGACAGATAAGTCATTAAATGTACTTATTCTTGGAACTAGCCAGTTATATTGTATGACAAGTATTTTTAGTTTGAAAAATGGCTTGAGAATCTGTCATCTGCCAAATTGGAGATGTTATATGTTAAGAAATATGATTAGGAAAATATTTTTAATGTGGTGTTTGGCATGCTAGTGTATGCTATTCTGAAATCTTTCTATACATGAATCTGATTAGAAATATAAAAAGATAGTATGTTTATAAATTCCCTCTTGGGGAGTCATTTAAAGACAAGCAAACATAAATACTAAAAATAATGTTTTTATGTGGTCTAATCTGTGTAGCATGCCTGTATGATGAGATTCCAAGGAAATTTCCCACTTCACTCACTGCAAAAGAATTTTCACTAGTCTGGTAATATTGAATGAGCAAGATTTATTTTCATTTCATGATGCTAAGTCAAAATATGCTTCCTGTTTCCTTTAGGATCTTTTGTATGTGATTGCCTATGGGCCTTCACAAGTGAAACCTCCAGCTGTGCAAATGCTTTTCCACTACTGGCCCAATTTAAAACCTCCTGGGGCAATAAGCGAGTACAGGGGGTTGCAGTACACAGGTAAGAAGAGAAGAGTCCTGTGATGCCCCCTCTGTATTTCTCCTGTGCCACATTTGCCTCACCTACCTTTAAAAAGAAGTATTTCTGGATTATATTTACTGCGCCTTGGACATCGTCATAAATCCTTTCTGAAAGTAAGCAGTTTAAAAATAAATTAGCTAGCGAGGTATAGTGAGCCCAGCTACCGTGAGAGCTGAGGCCTGAGAGTCACTTGAACCAAGTTTGGTCCAGTCTAGGCAGCAAAGAGAGACTCTGTCTCCGTAAAAAAATTATTAAGTAAAATCAGTTTCAGAAGTATCTATGACACCACAGCAAATTGCCTAAGTTCCAGTTCTATTGGCAATACACCTAGCCTGTGATCTTAACTATTACTAAAATAAATTTCTACAAATGATGAGCTATAAGATTAACGTTGTGAACTTGTTCATCATTTAGCAAAAACCACAGTTGGATAATTGTGTTCTGATAAGAAGAGTTCCATCATTTTCAATGTTATCATTTTATGCACTAAATAAGTTAAATGACCCAAATAACCACATTTTTCAGAAAGAGTTAATGACTGATCAATCTTAGTGTATTTATTAATGAGAAGTAAGCCTTAATTTTAGGTGTAATGACAGATACCTACCAAAAAACTTTGCAAAACCAAACAGCCAACCCCACTCACTTCAGGTTCTAGGTTGCTGTTTATGTGTTATAAAGATCAAAGGAAAAAACCTTTTGGTTAGTGGCATTCTTAATGTCCCTAGCCCCTCTTGCCCCAACACACTACATACAAATTTTTCTGGAAGTGGAAGGAAGAGATAGTTTTGCAAGTTAACCTTTCTTCAACTTATTGCTAATATTCATGTTTTGAGAATATGCTTGTGTATCATTCATCTTTTCAAATGTGATTTGAGGTGATTCTAAGGGGATTTAACTTATTTTGAGTGTCTGATTTATATTTCTGATGAAAGATTTAAAGCCAGTTGTTAGAGCTATTCAAGAGTATGAATATCCCTGACCCTCAATGGGCTTATTCTACCCAGAATAATCAGTGATGACTTTAAATCAATAACATAATGATTGTAAGTGTAAGTAAATTTTTAAAGTTAAAAACTGGTATCATTGGTATTTCATATCATTAATAGCAGACAGTGTTTCAGAGTTGTTAAGTGAATAATTTAAATGTAAAATCAGCAAAAAGTTTGGACACAATGTAATAAAAGATGAAAATACTGAAATAAAGATGATCCCTTTTTCATTAGACTCCTGAAAATCATGTGTATGTGATGTTCAGATGGATAATCCATATAAAATTAGATTCATTTACTTGATAAGTATTTAATGAGTAGCTACAGTGTGCCAGGTACTGTACCTTTTGTTGAGGATACAGTAGCTAACACAAAACTAGATCTTGTGTGCTTTATATAGTCTAGATATGAAAATTGATTCATTTTATTCAACAAATATTTATGAATTATTTATGAATTATTAGCCAGATATTATTCTGGGCACTGAAATGGTGAACAAAACAGATGAGAACATTAAAATCTTGGAACTTACATTCTAGTTGTGAGGAAAATATCCAGATGCTGCAACTCAGTTCAAAAAATGCTACAGCAGAGCATATAAAGAGCTGTGGGAACATAGCTCTCATGACTCACTCTGATGGTAGGCAAGTTTGAGGAGTACTATTTGTTGAAGAAGGTTCTCAAATGAGAGATATTTGAGCAGATACCGGAACTATTGATAGCTATACAGCAGGTGTCAGAGGGGATTGAACTATGAGTAGGTAACATGTGGGTTGGAAACGGAAGGAATGGCATAGGTTTAGGCATGGAAGCAAAAGACAGCTTGATAGTATTTAGGAAGTAGAAAAAGTCAAATACAGCCAAACAGCAGAGTGAGAAGGAGAATAATAGCCACAGCTAAGCAGAAAGTCTTTTGGATCCTGTGGTAGAATGTGAATTTAATCTAATAGCAAGCGGAAACCAGAAATGTTTTAAGTGGAGAAAACACTTGATAATATTTGCCTTTCAGAGGATACCAGAAACCAGCATGATTCTAGGAAGGACCAGCTGAAGCTTTCTTTAATGAAATAGCTTAGCCTATGCCTACTCAGATTGTAGTAACTCTTTAATTTTTTCTTGGCCTAGGTGTGGCTAAGGGCATTCATTCTTCAGTCCATCTTTGCAGTCCTACATCATGTTCCTTTTCTTTGTCAGTGTGTTAGATACCTGCCAGGCATTGTTCTGGGCACAGAGAAAGCAGCTCTCTTAGAATTTCCATTCTAGTGAACCATGGCATTCTATGTAGGAAAAGCATATAATTAAAAAATCATTCTGGTCTGTATATTGCTATTTATCCAGCACTGGCCACTTGTCCAACTTTGTTCTAGCTGGTTGTTATGTTATCTGATATTTTAACCTTTAAAAATTTTATTGTCTTTAATTTTGTGTTTTTAGCTTTTTAGTTGAACACAATTTATGGAATATGTGTCATATTAGGATTTACAGATATTTTTTCAATTGGCCTATACAAAAATTTTGAGTGGTTTTCTTGTTTGAATTCTACAGATGATGAGTGGACACAGAGTTTAAGTAACATACTTGCATTCACAGATGAGGGCCCCAGCTTGAATCTGAAATCTATATTTTTCTATTCTGAGACAGCACTTTTGTCAATTCAGTGCTTTAATTAAATTTTAGCTGGAGCACTAGGATCTTTTTGTAGTGCATGCTTCAGTGAAGGGCATTTTCAGTAGTTAGATGGTACTGCAGTCCCAAATAATTTTAATAATAAAATTATACAGAAACAGAATTTTATGGGTTGGAAGTTCAAAGATGAAGTTTTCTCAGGGATCAAAAGGCTTTTGCATATTTTCCAGTGAGTTACTTCCTTTTTTAAAGAAACATACTTTATTTTTTTACAAAAGAGAAATTTACTCATGTATGGACAAAAAAAAATATGAACTCCCAGAAGTGATCACTGTGAACATTTTGATATATTTCTCACTGATTTTTTGATACATATTTAAAACATAACATTGTATAGAATAATGCAAGATTCTACCAACATTTTCTTATAAAATTACAAATACAGAAACATTTAAGGAATAATCATGTAAACACACATAGCTTTAATAATTGTTTTAATCTACCATACTAGCTCTGCTATTGATTCACTGTAATTTAAACTGTATTTATATGTTTATAGATTATATACTGCTTTTAAAATACACTTAACATGGAAATATTTACCACTCATAAACACATCAAATAAGGAGAATTTGATGATCTGTAGTGTTTACCTCTTTTTTGGTTTATTACTGTGTATCAACAACTACTCCAGTTATTTTGGTCATTATATATGTTTCTTAAAGGTACAAAATAGGAGTTTCATTTTTTTGTGTAATTCTTACATGCATACATTTATTTAAAATAGGTTTCTTCCTGTTAAAAAGGATGCAAAAAATTATGAGAAGTTTCTTAAAAATGAAAACAGCAATTATTGTTGTCCTAAGCACCTCTGAATCTGTAGGAAAGAAAGAAATCATTTAGCAGTTTTCTTTCTAGCTCTGTCCCAATTAGTAAATTATTTAGGTTTGTAACAAAGAATATCACCAGTTATTGCTTAGCTTTGATTTGAATTATGGATCAAAAGACCTAAGATGTGCATCCCTAACAGACTTTTGCAAAAGTAGTTAAGAGAATAGCTAAAGATAAGCACAAGATTAAACTTGACCTAGAGTATATTATGTAATATAAGCTAACCTCACATTAGTAGGGGTGGATTCTTGAATTGTATATAAGGAGGTCTGTCATCGTTTTCTGTTGTAACTTCCCCATTATTCCTTTCTTAGCTATTTAACTGGATTTTATACTTACATGATTAAGAATATTTAAAATTTTATTGTTGCCTTATACACATGCAGAAAAACCCACTAATCGTACATAGAGGGAGTATTTCCTGTCATGTATGTTCTCTCAAGTGATTATCTCTTCCTGTCTAATGTCAGAGATTAATATTGCCTGTCGAATTTTATAGATATTGAAGTAAACATTATTTATTTGTGTGTTGTCCCATGATGTTAATGACAAATGCCCTTTGTGAATTTTTTTGCTATATATAGTTCAGCAAGTGAATGGACCATGGGTTACCTATCTTTTCTATTAGTGGGCGTTGGATTGTTGCCACTTTTTGGCTATTACATCTAATATCATCATGAACATCTTTGTGTGTACCTTTTGGTGAAAAAAGGAACCCACATTTTTGTTAGATATCTGCTTAGAATGGAATTGGTGGATTAGATGTGTCTTTAATAGATAATGGCAAACAGCTTTCCAAAGTATTTACATGTATAATTAAGAGTTCTTTTTTGTCTTATATTTGACATTTTAGGCCATTCTTTGTTTTGTTAGCTTTTAAACTTTAGCTATTTTCAAGGATGTATAGACATACCTTATTGTAATTATAATTTGTCTTTCATTTATTACAAATGAAATTGAAAACTTTTTCATGTTTATTAGTCATTTGGATAGCATTTTTATGTAATCTTTGTCAGCTATGCATGTTGCAAATGCTTTTAATTTTCAATGATATATTTTATTAACTGAAGTTCTTTTAATGTAATCAAACTAGCATTTTAGAAAACTTTAAGAAAATAATTCTCTACTCCAGAACTATGATGATAATTTTTATTTATTAGCAAAACTGTAATCTTTGCCTTTTGTCTTTCAGTTGTATCTGAAAGACAAAAGTTTTTCTGTAGGCATGAGATAATGTTCATTTATTTTCTCTTATGGATAGCCAGTTGACATAATTTATTGATAATATTTTCTTTTCCTTACTGTACATAAGTACCACTTTTTCCTTCTTTTCTTTTTCTTCCTTGAAGAATACCCTATTTAATCCTATCTCCTTACCTGGCTAAAGAGTTTGTCAAGTTAACATACCACAAACACTTAAACTGCTGGGAGTCTGATTTGGATTGTCTTCAACTTAGATTGGGATAATCT